AGTAACTTGGAGCTTTATAAACCTATCTTAAGAAAAATCTTTGGTGATTTAGAAGTCTTTAAATACACCAGATTGACACTTGACTTGGACAAAACTATAAGATGCTCACTCCAAGCACTCAACACCATGGCATAGCAATGTAAAATGTTTTACCCTGAGGATCTAAAAAGGCATCTCACAGCGTGGCACAACTGATTCCTGGAATAAATTTACTAAGCTAACAAAAAAAAATTCAGATTGAGTACTGCTTTAATCACCAGAGTAAAGTAATTACACCAAACCTGTTAAGAATAGCACCCTTTTAAAACTATTTAAAAAATATTTCAACATTCACCACACACAAACGTAGATTTTAATTTTTTCAGAAAGTTATACTCCAAGTATTCCACCCAAGGCTAATTAGAACATATAGCTAAGGCAGGCATAATGGAAATCAGTTTTGTAGGATCAGCACCTGTAAACCAGAAAACCCAGAACCACTTCTCAGAGGAATAATGCATCTCTCAGTCCAAACTAAGTTCTCTCAAAGTTTGAGGTAATTTATTCCCCAGAGAATACTCATTAACCTTGTGAAACTGATGGTGCTTATGATGAGACAATTGCATTACTGGTAAATTAGATTTCAGTGCTCCTGAATAAACATACTATACAATTTGCCTGTTTCTTTTCATGTATACATCCCATAAAAGACACATCTTAACTAGTGGGTTTTCCCCCCCTCATTTCCAATCACTTCAAATGACTTCAAAAGTTTTGTTTGATAAAGATGAAGAAATTCAGTCTTGGTGGAATATTGGTGGTTTCAGACCAGAGCACCCACAAATATAAAATGTCAAAATATCCACCAGGCTTATGTCATTGGACATCCTACCTTCACTTACGGATTCACCCTCAGTTGCTTTGATGGGAGCTATTATGGATGCATAGCACCTCCAGCTCAGCTACAGTATCTTTTTTTTAAAAAGGCAAAAAGGAGCTGTTGTAACTATACACAACAGCTAAGGACAGGTTAATAGCATGTCCAAGAAGGAAGATAGTGGGGCCTTGATAAGTCATCCTTTTCAGTCATCCATAGCACTGGCTCAAGATCACATAAGCTTTTTTCCCCCTTATACTTTGCTTTTACATGTAAACAAACTAGGTAATTTAGGAATTTACCAAACTCTACAGTGTTAAGACAATTTAATAACATGGTCAGCAGGGGGAAAGAAAAACTTCTACAGCACTAAGTCTTGTGGACAGTATCCATTTCAGCTTCTTATAAAAAATAAATGTCAGAAAGCACAGTTCAATCTTATCTTCAATACATTTGAAGAGGAACATATTTTTTATGAAAGTGTGGCATTAAGCCACAAACTATGCACCAAGAAGATTAATTATGAGCATCACCATAAGAAACTACTTTAAACTGTGCAACCAACATGACAGTTGTAGAGATGATTGAGAAGAGCCAATGCAGGTCATGCTCCACACTGAGGCAGCATCCAACTGCCAGGGAAAACTTACAAGAGAAATTAAATGGCAAATTTAATTATTTCTTTCTTCTGTGATGGGATATTTTTGAATAAAGCTGCCCAATCTATTTCCATTTTACAAGTGTTTTAAAAAAGAAAAATAGAACTCTTAAGTCTAGTTTGATATTTTGATCACAAGTGGTTATTTTATGCTATATAGTATGATCTGTTTGACCACTAAATGGATGTCACTATCTGCTAGAATTCATAAATATTAACACTCTCAAAGTACAAAATCCATTCTATTAAATACATCTGAAATTAATTACATTATTAATGACTTGAGAATCCTAACAGGTCCATCCTTGTCAAGTACCAGAGGAAATAATTCAATTAAATTACTGCTTCATTATACACAGGTGACTCAGTCTGCAGCACCATGATCACAACAGCCAGTGTCACAACATACTATTAAACTAATTGCCTCAGCATCAAGAGGGATGCTCACTTTGTTTTACTCACATCTGGCAAGACCAACAGGCAAGAGAGGCAAGGTAAACCATAATGACTTCTGTTAATTAATACTAACACACACAGTGGCCTTCCTCCCAATCAGTTACAGCTGTCAGCACACACACCAGCATTCAAACAACTTGCCACCATCACTGGAGTAACAGAGCCAAGCACTGGGGAGCCAGAAAATGCTTAACAGAGGGAGAAGAAAGGAAAAATAAGAGAAGAGTAAATTCTCAATGTCTTGCACTGACTGTCTGTTGTTTTCTCAAACACATTTGTACCTTGGAGGAGACTAAGGGTAGAAGTCACAATATGCTAGTTATTATCCCATAAAAACCTAAAGCAGGGAAACTACTGGGAGGTAGAAGGGAACATGACAGCATTGAAATGTAGAAACTGTAACTACTTTATAGCTTATAAAAAGGTAATGACATGTAAATCTGAATAAAGGGAAATTATAAATGACTTCTGTGTAGAACTGAAAACATGAGATAAAGCTTATACAGTTGTCTTTGGCACTATAGCTGTTATGCAGTTGTTATACAGTTGTCTTTTGGCACTTAAGGCACTAATTTTATTTCTCAAGTCTCAGAGTAGAGGGAAGAGGAAGAAGTCTTTTGTAGGAACACAGAAAGGGCATACACAGTGGGACAGAGGAACACCACATCTGCTAAAGAAAAAAAATCTCTCAGATGCTAGCATCCACTCTGATTTTGCTTTGTTAGGGAACCATGGCAGATTAATTTTGTGTACCCACAAAATAAAGTCATTCATTCACAGTCGTATGGCAGATGAATTATGCTGAGGAAAGATCTAAGTCTGGAAAAAGCTGCAGACAATATTATGGAGAGATGGGGTTGCTGTGTGGAACAATCTGTTACACCCATCCCTAAGCAGACAGAGCAGCAGCCTCCAAAGCCTTTACATCAAACTGAGGAAACATCTAAGTCTGGAAAAAGCTGCAGACCATAATATTATGGAGAGATGGGGTTGCTGTGTGGAACAATCTGTTATACCCATCCCTACGCAGACAGAGCAGAGCAGCAGCCTCCAAAGCCTTTACACACCCATCCCTAAGCAGACAGAGCAGCAGCCTCCAAAGCCTTTACATCAAAAAACATTGTTATAAAGAGGGTTAAAAAAGTCACAAACATTTTAACTTCAGTCACTGTCTGCTGCCTTTTGAGTACAGCCAGCTTCACAAAAGACTTTGTAAAACAAAGACAAGCTACAACAGACCAAATATTGTTGACTTTACAATCCTGAAACAACAGCTGAAAACATGACATTTTATTTTCTGTCCTTGTTACTAAAGAACTAACTTTTTAGGGTGAGAAAATACAGGGTTGATGACAGGGGAAGGCAATAGGACACAATCTACCCTCCTCCTCTCCCTTTATTTTAAATTTCAACAAAGTTAGGTTGTATACAGCAGCATGATAGAAAATGGTAAGTTCTTGTACTACTCTCTCCACTACTCACTCTCTTCCATCTCCTTTTGCTTTTCTCCTACCAGTCCCCCTCCTTCTGACACATTCCCTCTTCTTTTGTCTTATTTATGCCTGCCACACCTCATATTCTACTTCACTAATCTGCTCATCAAATGCAGAATACACAGGAGGAGGAAGAGGGAAAGTTTTGGTCCAACAAATACCTTACAGTCCTTGAAAAAAATGTAACACTAAAGCACATAGCAGCTGCAAACACAACTCCTTCCAGAAGTTTCCTGTTCTCTTTCACTGCTCTGAACATAAATCCTTTTTTAATGCATGGATGGTACTTTTTGTTATGAATTATGAAATAATAGTGGAAAAATATGCTGAATTGTATGGCACAATAATGCCCACTCACACTTCTCTTCTGTAACCCACTGCACTGTTAGAGTGAACACCAAAAGAGTGACCCTGGTGTCTCTTCTGAAATACCCACTAGAGAGGAGCTTGCACTAACCCTTACAGACAGCAAGCACCAAAACCATCACTAGTACATCAGCATGCCTAAAAATTTATTCTGGGAAGTTCCAGTCTAACCATTTATTCTGGGAAATAAATTTATTTCTAGTCTGATATAGCTTTTATGACACACACACCTAAGTGTGCTGGATCACAGGTAACAGTATTTTTATATTTCATCTCAGTTTTCAGAGCATATATGCTACATGTTAACTGTGAGGAGTAAGAAAAACTCTAGATTGATCTATCCAAGCTCCAGCCTAAGAAACTTAAGGTTGATCTACACAGACTTGTGTGGAAGTGCACAGAAAAAGACAAGCCCTTATTTCTAACCTACCAGTCTATGTGGCCCATAATATTCTGCAGCTGGAAATTAGTCCATCCTCTTCCCTCATTTAAAACACAAATAAGCATATTTTAAAAATAAAAGCTGAAGAAAAGTTTCTAATAAAATCTGTCTGTAAGCTAGTGTTGAAGAAAAAAAGTGTTGTTTAGAAATCAGAGCATCTTGAATTATGCTCTTATTTTGGTCTTGAAACCTTTTCATGCCAACTTGTAGCAAAAAAGGACAGATTCATTTCAGCACCCAGCTATACAACTGCTTTAAAATGGTAAGAGTATGGATGCCAAAGAAGCAACTCCAATTGATCTAACTTAATGTGCAGATCACCAGTGCTGCCACAAAGGAGGCAACAGAAACATGGCTGGGGAAACACTGACCTTTAAATACACACACAACACTTGAAGCACAACTGAAATACACCATTTGCAGATGAATGGCTTATGAGGAGCTAGGGAATTGTATCTGCCTAATTATGCCAGAATAAGAGTGTGCTTTTGTGTGTGTGCATGCATGAAAAGGAAAATCTGGAATATTAAGCCTATCTTACTGTGTACAAGATTCTTTCTTACATAGGTGTATAGTTTCCCTGTCCCTTAGAGGTAAACCGAAAAGACAGGAAGCAAACTCCTGAAATCAGTGACAGAAAGATGAAAGAAACTGAGTTTCTCCCCTCAATGACAACAACAATATTTCCACTGAAGGGTTATCAGCTTCATTTATTCCAGAGTGCCATACCTGTTGAAGTTAATGTCTGGATAACTAGAATACTCAGACTTCATCTTGGCGTTGCGACGCGGAAAAGTGCAGAAGAAAGCGTTGGCCAGGAAACTGGCAATCTGCTCCTGGGACATGGTGATGGAGTGATTCATCTTCTGTTTCAGGAGAGGGATGGGCTAACAACACAAAAATTGAGGGGGAGGGAAGGGCAGGAGAGAAGGCAGAGAAAAAAAAATTATTAGCTTACTCTTTTTAAAAGAAAAAAAAAAAAAACAGGAGCACAAAATTACATTTGTTAAATTAGAGCAAGAGTAATTTAAGGCATTGGTGAACCCCTTCATCAGCAGCACCATTAAAGTCACCAGCAGTTCATTCCAGACCATTCAGAAAAGGCTTGCTGGAAAAACTGCCGATTTCTAATCAATAATAAAAAGAAAGACCAAGAAAACACAACTTATCAAACAAAACCATGGGGAGGGGGGAACAAAGAAACAGATGGGATGTTGTAAATCCTGGGCAATCTTAAAAACTGAAGGAAAAACCCACTTCCAATAGCTGTACAGTTAACCCTTAGGGAATGCTTTCAGCTACTATAACCATGCTTTATATTTTACAAAGAAACATAGAAGTCACACCACAGATCATCACTCTGTGACTGGCTTTGAATTTTTTTTCATCTTATTTGAAGAAATAACACTGGTAATATTTGCAGAAAATGCATTATTTTACATTCTTTTATAATGGGAATGAAAAAAAAGCTCAGCTTCATTTTGGTCCTCAGTTTGGGGATTTATTTGACCCTAGTTAACATTTTTTTTTTAATATACAAAGAGACAAAGATGCAAGGGGAACCAGAAAAAAACTAGGTGCTCCATTTTATCAGGCTTTAGCCTCCTGATTTGGATTTTTCTCTCACCACATCCATGGCATTTTTTTTTCTTTTTTTTAAATTATGCAATTAATCTTGGGGGGGGAGGGGAAAGGGTTAAAAAAAACCAAAACACACAACAAAAAAACAGTATCATTCTGACTGCTAAGAAGTCTAGTAACAATTACAATAAATCTACTTGACAGGAGAAAGAGATCAGTTTTTACCTCTTTTTCCAATATTCTCAGCCATCATCATCCTGCCTAGCTCCAGGAGAGCTGACCAGCTACATTTTAATCCTTTTTAATCATGAATACAGAAACTGCTACTAATTAGACTGTTGAATACACAGCCCTGTTTACTCCACAAAACAAAGAAGTTTTCCTTTATTCTTCTAACTACTACATTCACTGAATTTCATTCTGTCTTCTGGCTATTTAATTAACAGTCTCTGTTATGATGTCTGAAGTCACACAGCTAGAGGGGGAAAAAGCCTGAGAAGGTCTCTTTAAGTTCCACAAGCCTACAAAAATAGGATATTTTGGATGGTATGTTATATTGGAACAAAATTAGCTTTAAGTATAACCAAAAAAATGAACCTGGCAAAGCTCTTCACAATTTACACATCCTAACAGTACACCATCTTTAAAAATACCATTACTACATCAACTTACAACTCTTGTGCTTGATTTTATGTTCAGAAACTTCATAGCATTCTCAAACTCCCCTCACTAACAAGTGATTAGTTTAAAAAAAATATTCAAATTGTTTGAAATCAGGTATCTAGTGTAGGACCCCTGCAGCATAACAAAATAGGGAGAGATTTCCCCTGCTCCTGCCCAACAAAATCAATTTCAAAAACTGTAAAAAGAGCTTACAAATTAGAGTTGTTATCCTGCTTATGTATTACTTATCATACATCCTCACTTTCTCTATTCAACATTTATCAGTTTTACTCCCTACAGAATTAATTCCCATAACAATAATGAGGAATTAGTTAAGGTTTATGTGCGTGCAAGTATTGTGATGGTCTAACTAGAATAAAATATGCTCCCAGGTAAACAAGAGCTTTATGAAAGTACTGTTTCCAGGATAAAAAAATTCTGAAGTAAAAAATGAGATCTTCCATGATTATTCAAGTACTTCAGTTCATAAGTATGATTTTCAAAGATGAAAGGTTTCACAGTCATTTCATTTAAGAAAAGCAATAAACAACTCCAGCTTCCTTCAATGCAAAAAAACTACAGCTTTCATTAAGAACCTAACATGATCCTGATGTTTTGACCTTAGCCATTGGTTATAGTTTGCAGAAAAGTGGTTTGCCAGAGAGCACTTGGCCAGCTGTGTTTTCTTACCTGGGTGCAGATACTTGGGAGACAGAGTGCCAGCTTGACCATATCAGGAAGAATGGACTGGAACAAATGCTGAGCCTCTGCATCTTCAAGAATCTGTTAAAATGGGGGGGGAGAGGCATTTTACTTCAGAAACAATGATTGTACAAAGAGTTTATGAAAACAGGACCATCCAAAAGAAGCAAGAGGAAAAAAAGGAAGTCCTACTAGCTTCCTGCAAATCTGTAGCATTTTCCATTGTAGTACCTCACTATTTTACCTTGCAACAATCCACTAACTGCAATACAGAAATAACTCTCAAAAGTTGCAGCTGAAAAAGCATGCCACCAAATACCCTGTAAAGGGAATGTGAATAAGTTATCATTTGACTAGTTCCAAAGCAATGAACCAAATTCTCAAGTGATAAAGGCCACTACCTCACCATGAAGGTACTGAAATTATTTATTTGACTTTCATATTCAGGCCATATTCCAAGACAAGTACCTTGACATTCTCCTCTTCAGGACCTATGAAATGCACTGCTGGGCCATATCAGTGGTCTCAGCAGCAGCAACAGGGACCTAAGAGGAGTGTGCAAGCCTGGCCACTTTCCACATTCACCCCCATGTTCCCTCAAGAACTAGAGCTGTTGGATCACATACATTCAAGGGTGCAGCCTGCCTGGTTCCACATACTGAAGTTGCAATTTTTTTTTAGTCTCTTCCAGCAAGACAACTGATCCTATGACTACTCTCACTGCCTCTCTCTACCTGCTCTAACATTCTTCCTGAGAAGTAAAGACTAGAACTGACAACACTCAAAAAGGCACACCAATGTTTCACAAGGCTTCTCAAAGCTTTTATATTCTAGACCAAGTCACATCAAACTCTTCTTGTCCTGTTCTCAAATCCCTTCCTGACACAGTCTGGCCCACTGTTGACACGTTTGGCTGCCAAAGCGTATCAAGCCAATTTATTCAGGGAAAGTTCAGAATATCTCTTCTAAGTTGCAACTGCCAGTCCTGAGCTCAGCACCACAGTACCTGGGGCTTACATGAACCCCCCACCCTTCCATTCATGGATCATGCACCTATTTTTTAAAGGTGCAACAGGTTCTTTACAGTGGGCAATGCCCTTCTAAGAAAAGCTAGAATGGGCAGCTGTGAAAAGAAAAGAAACAAAGCAGTGCAGCTGGTCAGGGAGAAAAAAAGACATTGCCCATGTGCCCTCCTCTAGCAATCCAGTCCCCAGATGTGAGTGGCTGTTAGATTTCCATGCTGTGTTTCAGGCAACAAGCAGTGAGAGGAGCACACACAACTTGCACCACAGCTGGGGACTGGAAGATGAAGGTCACAGTTCAGCCTTCTGCCTCCCTCCTTCCCCTACATCCAGGAAATCTGTGTTTGAGACAAGCACCTTCTACTTGTTTCTAGACTACAACATTGGAATTCTGCAACTGTGGCCTTGAAAATGTAGAAAAATGTTTTTGAAGTAAAACTGTTACAAAATAATTACATTTACGACCAATTTCACAAAAAACCAATACCAGACAGAAGGGATGGAACAGCAAGAAGGTAGCAAATTCAGTCTCTGCAACATTCAAGAATAATTGTGAAGTCACAGAAAGTGATCTTTTTAGTGACATAAGCACAGCTTTGTAATTCACACTTCAGTGAAAAGTTTCACACCAACTTCAGGATGTAGAAAAGATACTGGCAGTTTTCTTGAGAAGAGGGAAACACAATACCTCTGATTCAAAGTGTACTGCTCCTCATAAACACCCAGCTGAAAATATTGTTTGAAGGCCAACCTCTGTTCTTCCATGATCATTTAAAAAACTATAGAAGTATCTCTGCTCTATTCCCTCCAGTTCCAAGTGATATAAAGGGGTAAGAGCACTCAGGAAGTTAAAAAACAAAACAAAGCACCCTGAAAGGACAAACAACTTCTGCTAGGGAAGGAGAGAAAATAAAACAACCCAAACATTTACACAGTTACTTTCCATGCATTATGCATGCTGCTCATGGAGACAGACAAATGAGGTTTTAATTTAAAGTTTTAAATTGAAGCAATAACTTAAAGAACAGCAAGCCTAGAAAACATGAACATAATTTGACATCATGGAGTAATATACAAATTATTATTGAAAGTCAACTTTTTTTAAGGCTAAGAAATGAACAAGATGCATCTCTCCTCTGCTGTTGGCTGCATATGCACCTACATATTTACACAGTACAAGTCATACTGAAAATTACAGCTGAACCCTTAACATTATCTGCTCCTGTAGGAAACTTGAACTCTGTTCTTAGGGACAATGTTTTTAAGTGCTATAAAGTAATGAATGAGCATTTAAAGACTGGAATTTCAGATCTCAATACATAAAATGAATATGTAAGTTAAATCTATTCAAAAGATGACATTTAACCTCAGATGTCTTCCAGGCTGTCAAATTCTGATATTCTCTCCCCTTTGGGTAACACTTCCTCTCTTTTAAAGTTGACATATAGATAGTGGCTGCTATGCTTTGCTGACTGCCACAGACTATACAGTATCACTTATTTGGTGACACATTATGGCACTGGACTTTGTCACAGCTGTCAAAACTTCAACCTTTTCTTTATGCTCCTCTGAAAACGATACAATAATGGCATGAGACAATTTCTTCCCAAAACAGAAGCAGGACCAACAATTCCACAGCTCAGCCCCGATGCAAAACACCTAACTACAAGTTTCCCTTCTTAAACTTTGAGTTCTACTTCTCTTTACCTTCCTAATGTTGTACCAGAACATGCACTTCTACACTATTCCTGTGCATGACATTTACTAGATGTCCACGAATTAAAACCTCAAAATTTGGAGCTGTTAACACCCTGATGCATTCTCCTTGAACTTCAGATTATTCTTACACGTAAATGACAAATAAGATGGGCTTTGTTTTTTTTGTTGAAAGTTTTGAGTGCCATGAAAACTCTACTCCATTTTCACAAGACAAGTTACTTAAACAATGCCACAACTTTAAAAAGATTATCACTGTCAGTGCTAAGTTCACAGACCTTGCCAAGAAGCTTCTAACTCTGCACTGTTCTCTAATCAAACCATCCAGCAGCCTACAGACCTGCTTGGACTACTCCCCTGCCTAGGAAAACGTCTCCTAAATATTGCAGGGAAGGATAGAAATGTTTTCAAGCTCAAAAATAGTTTGTTTCCTCCTGGAAATGTCAGAACTTCACAAAATACCTGCTGTACTGAGTATTCTAAGAAACCTGTTGTTGAACTGCAGGTGATGTTTTTTTTTTAAAAGAAACAAAAAAAAAAACTGAACAAAACCACCCTTCTTCCTGATAAACTGTCTCCCTAAAAATAATGCCCTGGGGAACTATTCAGTCCTGTGCTTCCTATTTGTATCTTGAGGTTATGACCCATTGGTGAACAGCAGCAGTAAGCCATAATATGTATCCTTCCTTAAGTAAGTAAAAAAACTTCCTTTAAGTTACTGAAAAAAAAAAGGCAATTTGAGTCATGGCAACATCCATGGAATCATAACTTCCCCTTTCTGCCCATGGACTCCTCCTGTATAGGTAACAGCCCTGTGAGGTTTCTATGAAAAACCAACACCTGCAGACTCCTGCAGCTTGGCTCTCATCTTCTTTTGACTAAAATGCCACCACAGCTTTGTAGTGTTTGTCTACAGTGGCTTTGTAGACAAGCCATTGTCACTACATATTCTCAGCTAGGCTCAGTGCAACACAGAGCCTGGTTTTATCTCTGACAGTCTTTTCAGATTTTGAAAGTGGCAAAAAAAGAAGCCTCAATCATGGAAATAAGATGGCTTTAGGCCGCAGAGCGTGGACACCACAGCTACATCTGACTGACATCCCACCATGTGAATGCCAACCTGGGGGAACCTAGCAAGAGCACAGAGAACACCTGATCACAGAACTGAATGAAAGTGTATTTAGAAGGAAACTCTCTTTAGGAAGCAATGACTTGCACCAATACAAAATCCAGTATATTTAGAGCCACGTTCCATGTATTTGTGGCTGCTGAGAGGGATGTGCTATTCTGTTACACCCGTTCCCATGTTCATCTGAGAATTTCCTGAGATCCTCCAGCTTGCTAATGCTACAGGAAAACAACTGAGGGTGGGGATTAGTCTTCCACTACATTAATAAGTCAAACCAGCCAAACAGCCACGCATTGTGAGATGTTGTGCAGGGTGGGTGGCAGATGAAACAGTCAGTCACACCCCCTGCCAATGGCTACCAAGGCAGACAGCAGTTGCAAGCCTTCTCACTGAAAGCAGTAATACTGCAGTTACTGTGAAGCTCTTACAACAAGCACCTCACTCTGAATTAAACAGCCTAGTACAGCAACACGCCTGTATTGATCCAGAAATGTGCTTTTAACCATGCACAATCTTTTTCAAGGCTACAGCTATGCAAAGATTAAGAGAAAAGATTGGGTTCCCATTGTTAAAAAATAACATTTGTCTATAGCTGAAGAAACTCTAAAATATGAAATGGTTGTCAGTTTTTGATAAAGGAAAATACATTAAGTATCATAACAGTTTTCTTTTTAAACAATTGATCAGTTTCTCTTTCCTTATTATGCCTATAGTTTCCTTGCAGCTTCCTTTAGGATCTGAAATACGACCAAAAATACATTGTTGACTTTATTCATAGTCCTCCAATCAGGCAAAAAAAATATTTAGGAGCAAAATAAAAGCAAGGGCTTCACCCTGAGGGAAAAGTATATGCAATTAGAGTTGCAAAGCATGACTTGCTTTTTGCCAAAGAAATCACTTGGTGATTTCATCACTATTTGAGCTGAAACGACTGATTAAATGAACATGACTTAGGGTTCCAATTCATAAGGTGCAAATGGTTCAGTGAGCTGCAGCAGAGGTAAGAGCTCTTGGCCAAACTTGCATTGCAATTTTGAAAAATGAACATTTATACTGCAGCAAAGAGTCCTGACTAAACACTGCCATAAGTAATGGCCTCTTGTCACTATAAACCAGTCCTCCACAACGTAATGAACAAGTATGCCTGACAGTCCAAATAAGAAGGATCTGAGGCAGCATGGGGGGATAGTGATGGTAGAGAGTTTAAATCTAAA